AAACTTTAACTCCAAAACAAAGCATGTGCTAAGTTAAATCATTTTTGTAGGTGCATGAATACACTAGGAAACCAACTTATACATCGTAGTAATATGTATATGGACAAATGTAAATGTGGGCTTGATGGTAGTGCTATATTAGATGCTAGTTTATCCATCCATTATATTTTGCTTATTCAAAGCCACGTCGCAGTAGCAGCAGGCTAAACAGGGTGCTCCGGACGGCTTTTCCAGTCCTTTCTAGGAGATCCCGGGGGATTCCCATGACGCGTCAGATATATAATCTCTCCAGGAGCTTTTGTGTCTACGCTGGATTGTCCTCCAAATTGCATATGTCAGAAAAACCTCTTAAAGGAATCTCCAAGGAGGAGGCTTCCTAACCAGATGCTTAAACCATCTAAGCTGTTTATGTTTGGCGTGGAGGAGCATTGGCTCTATTTCAAGCTCTCTCCTGATGTCTGAGCTCCTCACCCTGTCTCTAGTGCTCGCAAATAAAAGAAATCAACACAAGTTGCCCTTGTGGTGTGGCTGGGCTCAGCCTTCGAGATAGGGGAAGCATTTTTGCTCTTGTTTGTGAAATGTATGCCTATTGATCAGTGGATGACCTGCCACAAGTTAAAGCGCTAATTATCAGGATAGTGTGATCCTCACTGAAAAGTGAAAACAACCTGTTTGACCAGCCGACAACTTGTGACTGTGCTTAGTTACCAAAATAAATAAAAAATAAAATACCTTTTTTGGTTTTATGAGTTTGCTGGAAGAAGGAAGTGAGAAGGGAGATAATAGATGGATGATGTGATAATATTTCAACAACTATAGTTTACCACATGAGGATTAGGTGCCTAGCATGTGTTAGACGTTTCCATCTTTAATATTATGGGAAATAAACTGAATAACAAACCTGCCTGAGATGTTGGTGAATTTCTGACCAGTGTCAGGGCAGCAGCAGACCTTCCTCAGGATCAGAAATCCTCACCATCTGGATCTGTTCTGTGAGCTGAACTCGTCGTGAACTCTTGCCTTTGACCCTCGACCGTGGCCTCTGCCAATCACACATTGCTGCGTCAGTGAGAGGTTACAGCACTCTGCACCATTAGTTTCTGTTCATATCACAGTGATGGAGACTGGCCTCCCACCTTAAACTCAAACCAGCTTGATAAACATTATTCCAGCAGTTAGTGTCACTGCTGAATCCTATGAAGAGGTTGGAGCACAATTTCATTCATGTGGATTTACAGCTGTAGCAGCATCTTTGACACTTTGTGTTAAAAAACAACAACTTAATTATTACAATGTATCTTTTCCCCTGCATAAAACAAAGAATGTTAAATAAAGCAACATTAACCTCCTCCTTCCAGGTGTGATCGGTGCTGATGTGAAAGGTTTTCATTTGCCCTGTGAGGGTCAGCCGATCACTGCACGCATGGCGCTGATCTGTGGAACGTCAACTTGTCACATGGCGGTCAGTAGTTCACAGCTGCTGTTCACCTGATTGGTGTAAAATTACCATACTAGTCTACCACTGTACTGTTCCCCAGTGAAACTTTGTGATTGTGTGTATGTTCCTGTGAATATCTCCTGATGACTAATAAAAACGTCTTCTGATGATTAATCGTGTACTCACCACCTTCATTTCCTAGGTGCACAATCTGTCTTAAGTAGTCTGATAAGATATCTTTCTAAAAGCCACTCTATCTGTATTACTTGTTTATACTTATGTGAGCATTGTTAAAAATTGTTTATAGACATAAATTATCCTGTCTGCACAGGCCAACTGCAGTAGCTCTGAGATGAGAAGAAAATGGCATCCTGTTATTATCCTGTTAGTCCGGCGGTTTCTATTTTAATTTATAAAATATTTACCTCCAACTAAAACTAACTAAAAGATTTCCTGTGCCGTCAGATCAGTGAGCAGCCTCGGTTTGTGCCAGGAGTGTGGGGGCCCTACCTATCTGCCATGGTGCCTGGACTGTGGCTCAACGAGGGAGGGCAGAGTGTGACAGGAAGGCTGGTCAGTCTACTCATATTTTTCTTGATCTTTTTCATTCATATTTAAATTATTTTTCAGATCCTCTTCATGCTCAATACTAACAGAAAACATGGAGACAAAACCACTTATTTTTTCCTCACCTTTCACATTTGAACTACTGGTTTGAAAAAAAGGAGCTAATGCTTTGGGATGTTTATAGATTCAGCTTTGACATTATTAGTTGAAGCCAGGTGGTCACCAGTCATTCGTGATCCTTTTCAGTTT